CCTGTGATGTCTTCGAAAGGAACCAGCCCGAAGAGGTCCTCCCTGCTCCCAGGGGACTTGGGGAGGAGGGCTGGCTGGAACGGGGTGCAGCCAAAGATATCAACACTCCGTGGAGATGTGGGGGAGAGCAGGGGCTCCGTGCCCGACACTTGCCCGTCTGGCTGGGGCACCTTTCTGCTGAAGGGAGCTTTCGTGAAAACATCGAAGTCATCCTGCTCTTGCATCAGGCTGGGAAAAGCTGTCTGAGGAGAAACATCTTTGTGCATCTTCTCTCTTGCCTGGGGCTGCAGAGTGAAAAAGGGCACAGCCCCAAACACGTCAAATTCTTGGCCAGGGTTTGCCTCGGTTCCAGTGCTTGGCACCTCAGTCGAGGACGTGTGCATCAGACTGGGCTCTTTGATGTCACCTCTGCCCACACCATCTCTGAACCTGCTGCTCAGGAGCCCTTCCACAGGTTTTGGCTTGGTACGGTCAGAATCGGAGTCAGAGCTTTGCTTCTCTTCCTCCTCTTCCTCCACCTCTTCCTCAGAGTCCATGAGGAGAGGTCGGTGGCCTAAATTCTCCGGTTCTGTATCATTGTCATCATTGAAGTCTCCGTTCTCTCCTTGCAAGACTTCTTCATCCTCCTGTTCTTCTTCTTCCTCGCTGCTCTTGGGAGAAGGAGGATCAGATTCAAAATCACTCTCTGACTCCTCACCACCTTTTGTCGCGTGTCCCTCCGCACTCTTCCTCCCTGGCCGGGGATCTCTAAATGCATGGCTCAGTTTTCCCGCCTTGCTTGGGGTCCCTAAGTTATTTCCTTGACAGCTGGCTGAGTTATCCACTTGCCCTCCAGGGGAACCTGCAGGTCCAAAGAAAAAAGCAAAACAAAACTTGAAACACACAAAGGCAACAGCTACTCCATGCGCACGCAGCCCCGGGAGCTGACGTAACCAAGTCTCCTGCACTTACTGGGGGCACTGAGCTAAGATCACACCGAGTATTTCAAACAGCGCTCACAAGATCGTTAGTCAGAGCTGCTAGCTGTACTCCTGGGGCACAAGGTGTCTGGGAATACAGCGCCAGGATCTGGGGGGCAGGAAGGAAGTACCACGGGGCCCCGGGGATCTCTAGAACCAGCTTTACAAACACCACGCGGCCTCCCCTCCCCGGGGAAACAGGAGCTCGTGCGATTGAAAGGCTTCAGATTTCTATTTCTTATGTTTCAAGCAGACTCTCTATTTTTGGATGTGCTTCTGCTTTCACAGTCTGCTCTGACAAACTTCCTGCTCTAGTCGTGAGCACAGCCCCTTCTAACCTCTAGTGCAGCGACCGAGGCACGGAAAGCTCTGCTGCCCCTGAGGTCTGAGCAGTGCTTTCTGCTCTGTGTCTAAACAGGATCCGCTGGCTCGGCTTCCCTATAGCAAGGAGAATGATCTTTATTTCTCTCTGACACCACCTTCCCTGCTATTCGCTGACAACTAGAGCTAAAAGCACAATTTGCTGATGACTCTTGCAGGGTGGTTGCCCTGGGAGTGCTGAGAGCAGTCAAACTTTGCAGCAGTAAGGAAGGAGATGGCAGGAGCAGGCAGAGCAGGAGAAGCTGCACAGTGCCACCGGCACAGCTCTCGCCACTCAGGCAAACCAAGTCTCCCTGTGTCAGAGCCCTGCACTGCGCAGAGATGTTGTCAGGAGCCTAACTGCTGGATTCCTGTTGGCAGGGAAGGAGTAGGAGGAAAACCAAATCCCTCAGTCTCAGCTGGGGAAAGCACATTTGCTCTTGAGATGTCCTTTTCTCCCAGACGCAGATCACCCCAGCCAAGCCGCTTTAAGCTGCATCATTGAACACACAATGCTAACCACAGCACCGAGAATTCCCCTCTTGGCAGGCCTAGGGCCACTGCCAAAACCGTGTGAGCAGTCCTGCCCAGGGAGGGTGTGCCACAGCCAGCCCAGCACCGGGACAAGCTCCCCACACCTGCAGCGTGACACGGGGCAGACAGACGAGCCCTACCCGCAGCACTGCACTGCAGACCCTCTCCCCAACCAAAACCACACCTGCCATTTAAGCCTTTGCTACACAAGTGCTGACATTTAGCCAGCTCCTGTGTACACAGGACTCACAGAGCTGGGAGTGAGACACCAGCTGTTTCTCCAAAATCCGTGTTCCAGACCATAACTCTTGTTTTTGCAATACACAAAATAATTTCTCAGGTAATTCCCTCCTTCACAAAGCAAGGCCAAGTCAGATTTTCATCTTTCTATGCTTCTGTTCAGACCAGCACATTTAGTTTTATGAGAGCAGTTTCTTCCTCTGTTAAAGGGAATTACCAGCTGATTTCTTCATCCACCAGGCACTTCCCTCTTTGCAATTACACTTCAAATAACAATCACAATTCGGCAGTAATACATTTCATGTATGGATTTAAACCCAAGATGAGCAGAATGACTAAAAACATCAGGTGATTAGGGCTTTGAGCTGTTTCTGCTTTGCTTATGGTGTCAGATTGCTTCTTATCCACTGTAATTTTAAATGCTACATATTTGCTTTACCCACTAAATTAGAATCTGGATTATTCTGCTGCTTACTTTAGATTTCCCCAAGGTACAGCCTTCACACTGCACTACATGACCCCCCCAGCCTCCAAATCCTGCTGCTTTCGATATTTACTGAGACACTAATGTTAGCATAAATGCAAATAGATTTCAAAGGAGAAAAGAGGGAGTATTTCTAGGTTAGATGTTAACACCACCTACACAACAAAACCCCCAAACCTGCTCTGGAGGTCAATATCCACGTGACTTCACACCCCTAAGGAGTGATTATACCTTTGCACACAATCTCAATATGCAGAGAACAATTTAGAAAGTGATTTATTTTTTTAAAGCAAGAACTGAACTTTTCTTCTAAGCAAGAACATGTCTCTAACCCACCTGACTTCCCGAAAGGTGTAAACGGCATTTGTCAGGTGCTGCCCCCGTCACACTCCCTGGAAAACAAACTGCCAAGGGCACTGAGAAGACAAAACACCCCAAGCTCTACCACCGGCCGCTGCCTCGCTGGACGAGCCATCCAGGGCACCCAAGGTGTAGCTCCTGGGAGCAGAGACCTCCAGGCAGAACACACAGCAAACAAGACTCGCCAACACACGGCAAAGCACTTGGAGCAGTTTCCCACACCAGCCGACTCTCCAGACCCACCCAGACCTGCTGCTCTTGCTGACAACACACAGCCAACAATCTGCAGACCCAGACAATCAGCATCTAAGGAACCTCTTTTAGCACCCCAGCACCTTCCTCGCTGACAGGCAGAGACATGGGAAGTGCCTGAGTGGCTCACAGGAGTACTGAGAATTGGATGCACTGCTTCATCTTTACCATGTGTTCCCCACAGCAACCTCGTTGCTGCTGAGGCCTCTTCTCCTCCTAAGGGCAGTGGGATACAACATGCATGCTGGATACAACAGCCAGCAGCCTTTCTGCTGGCAGGAGCGAGGCAGCCTGCAGGAAAAGGAGCCTGAAGGTGTGGATTGGTGTCCGTTCCTGCACACGAGAAAACTTTGTCTGCAGTATCTCCACAGATACCTCAAAGATATTGCAGCAATATTTATTTTTCCAGCTGCAGCATCCTCACAGCACTAGTCCATAGCTGCCTCTCAGCTCACCAGTGGTTTCTGAACAGGATTTCTGAATTCCTGGCTTCTAAGCTGAGCTTCCTCCTTAACCACCATCTACCTCCTTGCGAGTTATGGATGGGGCTAGTTTATCAGAGCAGGAAACGAATGTCACTGTCTTGTGTATAGGCTGGGGATTATCCAAAGGACAGTGTATTTGCAGTGGTTAGAAACCCACAGCCTACAGTAACAGCTCAGCATTAGGAAGGTTTCAGAACCAGCAAGTATGACCCCACAAGGGCTGCAGGAAAGCAAGTGGCACATGTCAGGGAACACTGGGCAGCAGCCACTGCTGCTACATGGGTTAGCAGGACACACTTTTCTGTCGAGGAATACTTCCAGAGTGGGGACCTTACTGCTCCCACATTGGTGTCTGTCAGCAGAGAGTGAGGCTCTTGCTTTATTCTTTGGTGGTGTGTGTGTGTAGGCACTGGAAACAAATGGAGCCATCTGCTCCAAGCAGATACCAGTCTGAAACACTTTCTAGTCCTACCTACAGCCAACCCTAGCGAGGGAATCATCTCTGCAGACACCTTCTCAGGTGCAGTGGCTTTTGGTTAGCTCCAGGAACAGCGAGAAAACGGCATCAGACCGGTGTCAAAACCAAACCATCGGTTTTAGAACTGTAACAGGAAGAGTTTGGTTTTCCGCACTACGGTTGTCTCTGTTTCACTGCTAACGAAGTGAGCAAATGAAATAAAGAGGGCACTACACCCAGCAACAATGCCCCACGAGGGACAATTAAACGCTCTGGCCAAACAGCTTTCCAGACTGCAGCGTTCTGTCACGTTGATTTCATGCAATCGTCTCAGGCTCCACTGCTGCAGAGACTGTTCAGATGCACGTTGACACAGAAATGCTGCACACTGGTGAGTAACATCTGTTTGTAATGTGCTGTTCAGATTACCACACTTCTAATCAGGTTTGCAGCTTGTAGGAAACAATTGTTCCTCACTCCAATGCGAGCCAGGTGGAACATCTTTAATCATATAAGAAGATCCCAATCTTCAAGGAAATTTTCTGTTCCGATGTTCTTTTTCGAGACACAGGATTATCAGAGGATGAATTCCCTCTAACAACGGCAGTAATTACATGCCTTCTGCTGGCCCCTCAGTCCGGGTACGGCGGGGGTGGCCCCGGAGCGGCCGTAAGAGCTTTAAGCCTCCTTGGAATTGGGAACATACTGCCACCATCATTTCAGAGCAATTTGCCACATGTCAGCCCCAGGATTACCAGCGTGCTGCAAGGAAATCCGCACCGCTTCTCTGGCAACAGCCAGGGCAGCAGCTGCTGGGCCCTGTAATGGAGTTACACGCTGACCGCCGTTGTTTTGCAGCACAAAAAAGGCAGGACACCACACTTGTGCCTGGCAGCTAGTGCTGACAGTCTTCAAACGATTAGTCTAAAGGCTGAAGTGTTAGAAAAAAATTGACCCGTGTCCATGACTGCTCCAGGATTTGAAAAAAAAGTAAAAAAAAAATAAATCACTGCATCATTTTTGACAGAAAAAGCAGAACCACCCTGGCACGGCCCACACGTAACATTTATACTTGTGATGGGTGAATAATTTTGAGTTACTTGGGAAGTGTTACCTAGAACAGCTGAAGTCTGAAGACTGTCT